CAGAAGGTTATAGTGAAAAAAATATTTATTTAATTATACATGTACTAATAGCAGCTAGGATTGTATTTGCCCAAAATTGGAAAAGGGATAAAATACTGATAAGAGGGGAAAAATAATTGAAAAAAAAATATTTGAATGTGCAGAAATGAATAGATTGACACTAGAAATTAAAAGGAAAAGAAGAAACTGAAGATGACATGGTGTGGAGTATGTTTTATCAAAGGATAGAGAATAGAACAACCTAAAAGGGATGTGATGTATTTATACAGCAATTAAGAGAAATTTAAGCAAAGTTATAACGTGAGATATTTATTATGTATATATGGGAATATGTACGAGAACATTGATGTATTATTAGATTTGAAAAGAATAATATCATTTGTAGTGTTCAAATAATTGAAATATGTACTCAAGTCGACACACGATTGAAATGGAATGGTTTGTTGTATATAAAAAATAAAAATTAAAGAAAAAAGAAAAAAATGGGGATCTGGGTTAGCTGAGCCAGCAGACTGCCCTAAGCGAATCTCCTCCCAAAATGGGAAAATCTTAACCTCACAAATCCCTACACCCTACAGGGGTGGAGAATTGCAGCGCCTGAGTTAAACACTGTGGAAAGGCCGTGGAAGGTTGCTTTGGATCAGTTGGATTTAAATAAACAACACAGTGGCTTGTTTGAATCCCTGGCTCTGGATTGACCCAAATACATATTTCTATACTGTATTTGGAGGTCCCTGAAGCAGGAGTTCCCTATAGAATAGAATAGAATAGAATAGAATAGAATAGAATCCTTTATTGGCCAAGTCTGATTGGACACACAAGGAATTTGTCTTGGTGCAAATGCTCTCAGTGTCCATAAAAGAAAAGATACATTCATCAAGAGTCAAGAATCATAAGGTACAACACTTAATAATAGTCATAGGTTTATATAGTCATAGGGTACAATAAGTAATCAAATCATAATAGGAAACAGTCAATATAGATCGTATGCAAGCAACAAGGTTACAGTCATACAGTCACAAGTGAGAGGGGAGGTGTAATAAGGAGTGATGAGAAGGTTAATAGTAATGGTAGTGCAGACTGCATGGAAGTTTGGCAAGCAGTACAGGTTCAATTTAAAAAAAAAAGTGAGTCATTCAGTGAACCTCTTATCAGTTTCTTGAATTCCTGACTTGCCTAGGGTAACCAGCATTAAAGCAGACACATGCCAATGAGAATATCAATAAAAACCTGCATTTTTAATTAAATCAATTCACTTGTCTGTTTTCTCTCTCTCTCTCTCTCTCTCTCTCTTGCTTTTTTCAGGAGCTGGCCAAGATGTGGGCCGCAGCTGCATCCTTGTGTCCATTGCAGGGAAGAACGTCATGCTAGATTGCGGGATGCACATGGGATTCAACGATGACGTAAGTGGGATTGGCGCACGGCGTGGCACTAATTTGACCTGGCTGGAGGTTTACTCCAAAAATCTCCATGAAAGAGTCTGCTTGGAGCATACAAAAGGCTGAGTGTCATCTTCTGTGAACTTCAGCCCTCCAAGTAAAAGGCTGTGGGAAGATGGCTTTTGCAGTCCTTCTACAGTTTGTGGGTTCTCCATAAATTTGTGGGATGGGCAGAATTTACCCCCAAACTACTTTCCGAATGGCGGTTTCCCAGTCAAAATAATTGGAGCTTCTTTCAAGTCCTCTTGGCTTTTGGGTGCTCAAGGCTGGTCAGCCTCTCTGATGCCAATGGAAGAAGTCATGCTGTGTTTCACCTTTTGAACGGGGCTGTGAATACTCATCCTCCCGCATCTTTGGCTCTAATTCAGAGGTCCCCAAACTTGGCAACTTTAAGACTTGTGGACTTCAGCTATGCTGGCTGGAGAATTCTGGGAATTGAAGTCCACAAATCTCAAAGTTGCCAAGTTTGGGGACCTCTGTTCTAAATGGTCCAGGCAGCCTGAGATCTGTTGGCTAGCTGGGTGGAAAGCAGAGAGCTAGAGGGAGAGGGAAAAGGCCAGACATGTTGTCCTCCTTTGTGTCTTTTAGAGGCGGTTTCCTGATTTTTCTTACATCACTCAGAACGGAAGGCTGACTGACTTCCTGGACTGTGTCATCATTAGGTGAGCACATCTGTCTTGTGTTTGCTATTATCATGTCTTGTTTAGAAAGATCAGTTCTGAAACTGGTTTCATTTGATAGAATAATAACTCCAGAACCAAAGTGGAGTTGAAATTAAAATTCTCTGATTGAGTCCTTTTTAAAGCCCATCTTGGATTCCTGTCCTTCCCAGCCACTTCCATCTGGATCACTGTGGGGGCCTCCCCTACTTCAGCGAGATGGTCGGCTACGATGGGCCGATTTACATGACCCACCCGACAAAAGCCATTTGCCCCATTCTGCTGGAAGATTTCCGGAAAATCACCGTGGACAAGAAAGGGGAGACAAACTTCTTCACCTCCCAGATGATCAAAGACTGCATGAAGAAAGTGGTAGCTGTCCACCTTCACCAGACTGTACAGGTAGGAAGAGGGGAGTTTTTAGACCGCGTGTCAGCGTTTCAGAAAACCTCCACTCCAAGCAATAACTCTGAGACAGACACCTTCTCAAAGTTCTGTTTTTATTTGGATAGTAAACTATCTATAGTAAACTGGGGAATCCCAAATCTGAAAGTTCCAGGTTTCCTTGCAATAAGTTAAAAAAAAACTACAAATCCACCCCCTGCACCCATCATTGCATCACATGCCCCAATCACCATCCGTCCCAACTTGAGACTTCCCCCTCACCCCGGTGCAGAAATAACACGTCCTTGAATTAGAAAAAGAATGTTATCCTGTTTAACCACACACTCCAAGAAATTCCCCCCTCCAACTTCCCCAGGCTCAAGAATGTGGCAGTGAGGAAGCATCTGATTCTAATATGGCTTCCAAAGCTGACACTGTGTAGCTCAGATTTCCAGAACATTTCATATTTGTAGCTGCATTTACTCTGCACTCATCCAAGTTTGGATCCACTCGATCTTAGATCTGGTGAGACCAAGGAATGGGGTACTTGGTTAAGAAAGACACATCACACCCCATTCTTTGGGAGAGGAGCCAAATCCTGACTCTTAAAGTGAGCTAAAAGAGCACTTGTTGTATAAATGTATATTGTAAATCCTTATACTTCTAGTCCTGGAGGAACAGGAAATGACACACTCTGGATCACAACATGACACAAATGACACTACAGAACCAATGTGGACACGTTTGCGATGTCACCGGACACTTAACTCACACAGTGGTGGCGAACTGCCAAATTTGCTATTGAAAAAACAGTTGGGATGACTCTTATTACCTGGTTTAGTAACTGGTTAGGTCTGGTCAGGTTCTTCAGGTTCTGACTGAATGTGGGAGGTGTTCAAGTTGGAAAACCTTCAAAAATTGTTACGCAGCCTTCACAAAATGCTGGTTGTCACTGGTTTTTCAATCTCTTTATGGTCGTGTTATCTATTTTTAGGTGGACAGCGAGTTGGAGATTAAGGCCTATTATGCTGGCCACGTCCTTGGGGCAGCGATGTTCCAGATTAAAGTCGGTTGTGAATCAGTGGTTTATACTGTAAGTGATCTGGATAAAACTGCCACATCCCTCCATGGTCCCTTTTTCAACCCAAATTCTGTTTTCCGTGAGATCCTTGTAAGATGAAGCTCCCTGCTTACGTGGGCATGATACCATCATCCCGTCATTCCTGGGCTGAAAGATTTGCAGGGATGCAATGAGATGTTGATTTAACGCAGGGGCCTTCAAACCTGACAGCTTTAAGACTTTGAATGCTGGGACATTGAGGACGTAATAGTCAAAATTATATCTTCAGTGCAATATTACCATTGGCAAAAGACAGCAGAGGTTACCTTTTGAGGCCCTGTTTTTACTGTTATTGGACATTACAAAGTGCAGATGAGAGTAAATACTGCCCTCCTGCAGCTGTGGCCAGATACTGCTACTGCAGGAGAAAAAGTGGAGGTTGGTTGATAAGGGTTGTAAATTTCAATCTTTGGGGCAGCCCCTTTAGTTTTAGTCACCTAGCACACACTTTCTCTTGTTCCCCGATTTCCTGCAGTGTTGCATTTGTCTATATACTCTTCAGAAGATTGGTTAAAGCACACCTCTTTGGTTATATTTTTAAATGTTGATATGTTTTTTTTTAAACATTTGTTTTAAGTTATTGATTTTTATCATTGGTGTTTTTGCTGTTTCTACTGTGTAATCTTTAGTATGGAAAGAGGATGTAAATGGAATAAATAAAACATTTTTTTTTTTAAATTTCCTTCTCTTTATTAGGGTGACTATAACATGACACCAGACAGACATTTGGGGTAAGCACTTTGGATTCAGTGGGAGGAATTGATTTGGGTAGCTGATTTAATTCCACTTATTTTGAAGGGGTGTAATAAAAGAAAACTTAGGAGTCCATAATTCAATTTCTTTTAAAATATTGCATTTGATAACACTCCCCAGTTGGCAGAGGGTGATGGGTTTCTTTTAGGGGTGGAGAGGAATCCAGCAAGTGGCATATTTAGGTATTGAAACCTTCCATGCTTTGCTTTTCAGGGCTGCCTGGATTGACAAATGCCGCCCCGACCTGCTGATTTCTGAATCCACATACGCCACCACCATCAGGGACTCCAAGCGCTGCAGAGAAAGGGATTTTTTGAAGAAGGTCCACGAGACCATTGAGCGTGGGGGGAAGGTAGGTGACGCCAGGCACCTTGAGCTGGATGGCTCCCAAGACAGAACCGTCTGCAACGGAAAAGTTCAATTGTGGGCAGAACCCCCCAGAAGCTGGCTTAGTGGGGGGGGGTAGCGATGTGGAGGGGGGCAGTTTTGCTCTTTGAGGCCCACTTGTCTCGCAGCAATTTGGAGAAAAGAGGGAAATGGAACAGAAAGAACATCAAATGATGACTGAGGTGGTGGCTTCAGACTGAAACTGGGGGAGAAATTCACAACTGCTTTTGCTGCCTCTGTGCAGAGTGAAGGGCTGAGATATGTTGCACGCTGGCCTAGAGCAGAGCAGGCCTAATAGCTTTGTCTCACTTTCCATCTCCATCATGTTCAGAGTTTTGCAGCGTTAATTCAGCGCCAGGAAAGTAAACACAGATGGCTGATGCTTCCTTTAACATCTTTATAAACATAATAAGTAGATTTTACAAACCAGTTGTAGATTTCTCCAACAATGGAGCAAACTCAAGACAGAAACATGTTGCAAGTAACTTCAGTAGCACACCACTCTCAGCTGGGATGATGGTGGGTTGCAGTTTTCCATCTGAAATTAATGCTTGTTTTGTTTTTCTTTCTGTCTTTCTCTCCCCACCACCTGTCCTTCCTTCCTTCCTTCCTTCCTTCCTTCCTTCCTTCCTTCCTTCCTTCCTTCCTTCCTTCCTTCCTTTCTTTCTTTCTTTCTTTCTTTCTTTCTTTCTTTCTTTCTTTCTTTCTTTCTTTCTTTCTTTCTTTCTTTCTTTCTTTCTTTCTTTCTTTCTTTCTTTCTTTCTT